GCTCAATAGCAGAGATTTTTCCAACAATTTGGACTTTCTACAGATGGAGTATGCTGGCTCCCAAGTAAGAATTTGCCCCATCAGTAGTTTTCAAGAAATAGCTGGAAGTCCACTCATCAGGAGGTTTTGAGCAAAGATTTCTGCATTTGACAGAAAATTGGAGCGCTAAGTCTTTTTCAGCACTGGGTTTTGTGATTCCCAGATCACTCACGAGCAGTTCTAGTGTTGCTTTTCTTCCAATCTGTTTATTCCCACTTGCAACTGAGGAATTGAAAATCACTCGTACTTTGGCAAACTCCTCAGGAAAAGTGTTTTAACCCAAAATACTTAGTGTTTCATTGACTTTTGGGGATCAAACTTGTTGAGAGGTAGAGAGACCTCTGAGAGGACAAACTCTCGAGTGGAGCTTAGAGCAGCCTCGTGATTGTCCCTGATCCAAGAGAGGAATTACTGAGGTATACTAAGAGACACAAGCTTGGTGGGACGGGAGCTCTGAACAAATTTTCCTGCTTTGTTCACAGGTTTTCATGGGGTGGCTAAATTTGAGGGGTTAAGAATTCAAAGGCAGTTACTGATAATATACTACCATACTATAGTTGGCATTTATTGAGTACTGTGTTCAACAGTTGATGTGCATTATCTCAATTATTCCACACAGGGATTTATCATGCAAGTACCATTACTGTCCCTTTTGTCAAGCCTTTGGCTTAGGGAAGTAAGGGAACTCATCTAAGATCCTCCAGTTAGAGCTAGAGCCAGACTGAGCATCAGTTTGATTCCAAGGCTGAAGGAACTATTTTTTTGAGATATATATGAAATTCATGCTATATATATATATATATATATATATATATATATATATATATATATATATATATATATATATATATATATATATATATATATTCCTTATCTACTAGTGTGTATTATTTGAGTAGTCCTGAAAATGAATCCATAGAATTAGTTTCCATATAGGGCTTTTATACCAAGGTTAGATAAATTTTATACCAAGGTTAGATAAATTTTAAAAAATAAATCAGAGGTGCCTGAATGGCTCAGTTGGTTAAGCTTACAACTCTTGATTTCAGTTCAGCTCATGATCTCATGGTTCGTGAGATCAAGCCCCGAGTTGGGCTTTGCACTGATAGCATGAAGGGATTCTTCTCTCTCCCTGCCCCTGCTTCACTCGGGCTCTCTCTCTCTCTCAAAATAAATAAATATTAAAAAATAAATAAAAATTTTGGGGTGCCTGGCTGGCTCAGTCAGTGGAGCATGCGGCTCTTAATATTGGGGTTGTGAGTTCAAGCCCCATGCTGAATGTAGAGATTACTAAACATAAAATATTTTTAAAAGATCAGCCTGATAATGTCTTATAATTTCAAATCTCCCACAGTTCCTACATAGGCTTTCATATTTGATCCCCACCCCCCTTTTATATGAAAGAGCAATGCTCAGTGTTCTTTTAACACATTTCTTGCACTTGGTATTGTACAAGTAAATGCTGATTTTATGCCGTAAGTTCAAAAACTCCTAGCTTTTCCAATACAGGCAGTACCCAAATTGCAAATGGAACTTTTCCAAAAGTTATTTTGCATACTGGTTTTTGGAAGTCTGTAAAAATAATATGCATAGTGGTTGTATTTCCAAATAGAACAACACAAGAGCTCTTCAACCCATCACATATGTGCAGTAAAATCATCTCCTAAACAACCATAAAACCAAATGTTTATATACATAAAACATAGTTGGCATAGGAAATACAGATATGCAGATATACATGTATCCCACCCCTACCCCTCAAGACTGCCCACCTTTCCTGCTGTGATAAGAGCAGGCAGACTCCCCTGTTCACTCTTCTAGGTTTTAGGCCTTGAGGCTGTGGGTAGTGGAACTCTGGGGAATGAAATCAGTGAGGTGGCAGAACTGACAAGGGGTATTATGGGGACCTCCTGGGGCCTCCTAAGTGTCGTGGTGGGGAATGCCTGCAAGGTGTCAAATACTTGTTTCTGTCAGTTCCTTTTCGTTGCTCCTTTGTTTCTGCTGAAGGGATTGCAAGACAGGAAAAAAAAAATATTAGCAGTGGAGTTTTTGTAGTTGTTACCAGATGGAGTTGCCTCCCCCTTTCCTTTGGCTTTGATAGAGGTAATGAGAATCTGAGGAGGGTGCTGTGGCTAGGTAGTGCCTAATCCAGGCAGAAGGAGAGAATTTCTCCTTGCAAACACCCCTCCTCCCCACAAACACACACTGTGCTGTGGTAGAGGTGGGAGAAAGAAATGCATTTCAGGGATTGGATTGGGAATTGGAAATCCTAAACATCTGCATGTTGGTAGCAGCAAAGAGGAATGACAGAAGAGAGAAAAGGAAGATATTAGCAGAAGAGGGAAGTAATATGTAGAGCACAGGTCTGTTTAGGTCATACTTTGCCTGTAAAATAGAGGACAAAGCCCAAATGGAGGCCCCTAAATTCACAGTCCAACTGCCTGAATGCCAGTTTATTGTGTAGGAAAGATATTTCAAAATGTAGATGATTAAATCCAGATGTGGAATTTTCTGTGGGTAAGTCCACTTTGTACATGTCAGCTTTGTAATCTGTTAAATGTAAGTAGGCCTTGGGAAATCTCAAGCTCCTCTTAAGTCATACAGGGGGCTGGAGGAGAGGCCAGCCTGCCCAAGCATCTCTCCTCTCTGGAATGGAGTTCCAACAATCTTCCCTTTTACTCTCTTCTCTTTCATTATTTCCCTCTCTTCAAGGTACACAAATGTGTGAGAACTAGGTTTGCCAGTAGACCCCTCACAAAGTGTGAAAACAATTGGTGGAGGAGCCATATAGGTGAGGGAGTGCGGCAGGATCTAAGCAGGCCAGCCAGAATCCCACAATGAGCTTTCCCTGCCCAATCGGGTGGCAGAAGGTGGAGAAACAGGTGGACAACTCCTATTAGAATTGTCCCCTATTATATCAAGAATCTGTGATTGGTGAACCCTAAATAAGTAAATCAAACTCTTCCAGAGAGCTATTTCCTCTTTCACTCTCTTTCACAAGTACCATTTTAACTATGCTTTTGGAGCCAGGAAAGTATCAGTAAAAAAAAACAATATAAAGCATAAAAGCATCTTGGATAACAACATCTTTTTAAAAATTGTTTATTTATTTATTTTGAGAGATAGAGAGCAAGCAGTGGGAGGGGGGGAGAGAGAGAGAGAGAGAGAGAGAGAGAGAGAGAGAGAGAGAGTCCCAAGCAGGCTCCATTCTGTCAGCACAGAGCCTGACACAGGGCTCAGTTTCATGAACCATGAGATCATGACCTGAGCAGCAATCAAGAGTCTTAACAGACTGACCTGCCCAGGCGCCCCTGAAAACATTTTGAATAAAGATTTGACAAATACAGTCTGGGATTCCTAAGATTCTTTTTACCCAATTCATTGTGAAATGAAATCAAATATTTTGTTAAATAGTAGTGGAGAAAAAAATCAATAAAATGATTCATGAAAGTTAAAAATGGATTATTTGAGCGAGGTTGGGGAATTAAATCAGTTTCTAATTGAAACCTAGGTTTTAACAATAAATGTTTAAGTTACGCTCACATTTTCTTCGAGGTACATTATATTATGGGGCAATATGGTCCTGCAAATGGTTACCAGAAAGTAAAATATTACCATCTCTTTGGCCTTCCTGTTCCTTGTTTAACTTCAGTGGCATGGTCAGGAACAACTGAAAGGAGAAATCCTAAAATATCCAGCACCAGTAATTAAAAAAAAAAAAAAAAAAAAAAAAATTCCAAGCCAACTTCTTTGGGGAGGGGGAGAGGGGCTGTTGAAAGGCTCTACTAAGGTCAGGCCAAGCCAATACTGCAGCTTCAAAACTGCCAGCAGTGGGGCCACTTTGGAGAGGCAAATGTGTAGGCTTAAGTCCCTTGGCCTGTAAAAACGAGGCAGGTGTTAGAGGGATGGACTTTTGGATAGGATGGAGACCCGGACGGATGAAGTCTTCTCTGGTTAGAAAGGAAATTTGGTATTAAGAGGGCCTCACTGAATCCCAGTAATGACCAAACAACTGGTGTTGTCCAGGGCACCCGGTGGAAAGTGGGAGGCAGGAAGTAGAAAGGCTCAAGCTCCTTTCCCTGGGTCAGTTCAGGAATTTAATTTCAACAAATGTTTATTGGAGTCTAATAAGTGTTGGGCACAGTGTTAAGCACCGGGATATAAGGCTAAATCAAACGTGGTCTTGTCCTTGAGGAGCTCACACTTCAGTAAAATGTCTTCAACATTCCTCGTGCTTTGTTAACTTTTATACTGGGACTTGTCAGGGGAGAGTTGTAGCTAAATCCATCCACACTTCTCTTCTGAAGATTTCAAAACCAGTAAAACTAGACAAGGGCATGGGGGCATGGGGGTGGAGGAGAGACGGTTACAGGGACTGGTGCCAAGCTTGGGAGCCGCCAGACGCGGGGCTCTGGTCGTGTTGCTTGCCGGCCAGGGGCAGCCAAGACCTTCCCCCGCATTGGCACCCTCGGGCTTGGCTCCGGCACAGCGAGGCTGCGGCGGTGCCAGCAGCTGGTCTGGCCCGGACGGCGACAGCCGGGAGCCCGGTAGGGGCCAAGCGGAGAGGTCCGGCTCCGGGGCGAGACTGCGCGTCCCGCGCCCGCAGCCAGGGGGCAGAGTTCCCGGGCTCTAGCCACCGCTGGCTACCTGGGGCTCAGGCCCCACCACTCCCGGCGGAGTCCGCGCCTTCTCTTGGCGAGTCTTCTGCACTAGCCTGGTCTCAGCGAGCTCAAAATTTCACGGTCCACTGTCTCTTCCGAGGGGCAGGAGCGGAGGCGCTTCGCGGGACCCGTGGCGGGAGGCGAGGTGGGGAGGGAAAGGCGGTCGGCACGCGGGGGGCGGGAGGGGACTCGAGTGGGGGATTCGAGGGACGCTGCAGCCCCGCCTCCGCCCCCTCCCCTCCTTCCCTTCAGAACCGGAGGAGCGAGGGAGCATGGACCAAACCCTGCTGCTCTGGCACCATGACGCTCGCCCGCTTCGTGGTAGCTCTGGTTTTAGGGGCGCTCCCCGAAGTGGTCGGCTTTGATCTAGTCCTCAGGTATCCCCTCCACCACCGTTATCGCCATTCGCTCCCTCCGGGTCCCCCGCACCCTTACTACCTTCCCACCCAGCAGCGGCAACAGAGGACGCCTCCGTCGCCCTCTCTCCCGCGCGTCCCGCGCGTCCCGCGCCCCCCGCCCGCGCTCCATGCCCAGCGCCTGCACGCCCTCCATGCCGGGCGCACGCCCGGGCCGCACCCCGGGGACTGCCCGGCCGGCGAGCCCTGGGTCAACGTGACGGACTTCGGCGCCCCGTGTCTGCTCTGGGCAGAGGTGCCACCCTTCCTCGAACGGTCGCCCCCGGCGAGCTGGGCTCAGCTGCGAGGGCAGCGCCACAACTTCTGCCGGAGCCCGGACGGCGCGGGCAGACCCTGGTGCTTCTATGGGAACGCCCACGGCAAGGTGGACTGGGGCTACTGCGACTGCAGACACGGTGAGTGACCCCGGGGCAGCGGCGGCGGCAGCTCGGGACTGGCGGGGAGCCAGCCTGACGTGCCGAGGGCTTTAGGTGTTCCTTGAGGAGAGCGAGTGAGAGTGTGTGAGAGTTCGCGTTTATATTGCCCGACGGGATGGCTGGCTGCCGCGGAGGCACCGGCAAAGCGCACTGGTACCGTGACTTTAAATTAGCGAGGCGAGCTTTGTGTGTGAAGGTTGTCGTGAGGGTAGTTTTCGTGAGAGGTGCTGCACTCTGGGTTCCTGGATCCCGTCTCTGGCCACTGTGTGTGTTTGTGTGTGCGTGTTCGTCAGGTGGATGTGTGTTCTCTAGGGTAGTTTGCCGTGAGGACGTTACCATATTTACACGAAAGAGGCAAAGTAAGGGCGGAGATAAAGTTTCTAATTATTCGTTTTGGAAAGGGAAATATTAAATCTAATATACAACCAATAACTTTCCCCCCACCCCATAGACTCCGATTTGGAAGTATGTGATACATCTTTTTGCCTTTATTCTCACCACTGGCCTCTGTTTGAAAAAGTATGGCAAAGTCTCCTGGCCTGAATACAACTCGCCAAAGTGATGTTCAGTTTTGGGGCACAATATGGTAAATATGATTAGTGAGAGAAGAGAAAAGAAAGGAAAAAGAGATAGGAATAGTAACTATCTTAGGAAAGAAGCAACATGATATAGTCAAATTAAGTTTTCAAGAATGCCATTTTTTTAGCTCCATATGTTATTTGTGGGCATTTGGGATTAGTTGGTGACATCAAGAGATAAAGTTGGTAAGATGTTTTGGTTTTATGGCATAATGATAACATATTAATAGGTTTAATGTAAGTGAATGATCTGCCTTTGAACAGTGCTTCATTTTGAATTGTTGAGGCTTTGTTTAATATTAGCTCGCCCCCCCCCCCTTCATTAATAGCTGGAAAGAAAAACTTCATGTCCTTCAAAATTTGAATTTCCCTTCAAACATCTTTTTGGCAGCTCTCCATCTCAGCTATGGGGCAGGGATTTCATGAATTGGGATTCTGAAATATGTTGTACTTTGTACCTTTTGGAGGTGATTTGGAGGTTAGCTTTCGTAGTGCCATTCTTTTCCTGCAGACATTTTTATTTATCTGAATTGCATTAGCTTTGAGTTAAAGGAAAGTGATAGGAAGGTTAAGATCAATTATCCTTCATCCTAGAGAATGAAGTCATTGCTATACTCGTGTTTCATGGACAGAATGCCAATGTGGCTATAAAAAAAATTGAGGTGATATCAGGCAAAGAGCCCCAGCATTGTCTCATTATTTACTGTAAGATTATTTGCAGTAAAATATCGTGTTTAGCAAACATTGGAAATTTTTTTGCTTTCCTGCTATTGTACTATATTTCATATCTTTAAATGTATATTTAGGAAATATGTATACGTATATACTGAAATCTCTCTCTCTCTCTCTCTATATATATATATATATATATACTGAAAGAAAAGTGGAATTTAAAGTGAAAACACTATAGTGGTAAATTGCTGTCTGACACGTAACTCCTTTAACTTTATATTCCAAATGAGGACAGTAGGTTGTTCTTTGTTTCCCATCTTGTGTTGAATAGAAATTTAAATCTAACAGCAGCACAGACTCTGCGATGTTTTTATGTTCATAGCTAATTCTCACCAGACAGAATCCCAAACACTGCATACTTGTATGTGTAGTACTTCCTGGGGCAAAGCAATTGAACACAAGAGAAACAAAAGAAACCACCCAAGATGGGAGATAAATGCCCCATGCAAAAAAGTACAGGAAAACAATTGGCTGTCTATGTAATAATTAATTACTTTCACAGACCCAGTCTTGATAACTGAAGCTTCCCATCCTGTCCTTTACCCCTTACGTTCTGATTAGGCATGATCCATACCTTCAAAATGACTGGCATTTTCTGAACCTTATGGCTTTCTGGTCTTGGTCCTATTTTCCCTTCAGAGGGTGAACAAAGCTGTCATGAAGTAGTGAAAAGAATATGGATTTGTGCTTTAAAAAACACTTGTGTCTGTTTTGGCTCTGGCAGTAGTTGTGTAGTGTTGGGTAAGACTCTTAATTCCCAGAGTTTTGGTTTCCTTATCTGCAGAAAAGCAGTTTTTGAATAGATTAATTCAAAGAACTTTTCCAGTTCTGAGCCTGTACCAAAATGACCTGGCCTGGTAACAGCTAGAATTTATTGAGCATTCACTCCGTGTTGGATGCTGGGCTAAGCATTTTATATATTAGTTTTCTCATTTAATTCTCATAACAACATTAGAAGGTAGTGTCCATTTTCATGTCACAGCTCATTTTGCTCTGGTTCTTTAATTATATAAACATGTAGAAATATATGTGCTGTCTGATGACCCCATTTTTGTAGCTTAAGGATGAGTCTAAAAGGAAAGAAAAAGTGAATTATTTTTGGTTCAATGCACATGATTTCCTGTATCTTATGATTTTAAGATGTCCAGAGTTTTTTTCTTTTTCTTAAAAAAAAAAAAAACTAGAACAAAAGGAAAGAAAATTTATAGTAGTGAGATCTCTCCTTTAAAAAATAAACTGGAGGCCAGAGTCACGTATCCAGTTGCATTGAGAGAAATGAGGAAGTTGGTGCCTTCAAGGTAGAAAGTTGGTCTAAGCCTAGTTGAAGGGGTGCTGAGGGGGGATCGCAGGTGAACTAGGGCAGGGTGTGGAAATACCAGTGGCTCAAATGTCTGGAGTGAGAAAGATGATGCCTGGGCCCTAATTGTATGAATTAGTAGTAAAGAATCGTTTGGTGAATTGGAATACTCTGAATCAGCCCAGGGAGTTTGTTCTCGTAATGAGTACCTAAGGGACTTGTTAAAATGCAGATACCTAGGCTCTAGCCTTCAGAAACCCTGATTGAGCAATCCTTACATCTGTCTCAGGAATGTGCTTTTTCTACTGAATGGTCAGGTCAAGGTGATTTGGATGCTGAAGACCCTTTGTCACACTTGGGAAAACCAGAGGAGGACATCAGAACCCATCTAGAATTGAGTGGTGGGTGATTAGGTAGACTGAGTCCATCATTCTGTGACTTAATTCTGCCAGGCATGGGATCAAGCAGAAGCCATGCCTATCTATGGTAATTTTGTGTCATTCTAGGAAATAGCACCACGCTTTTTCATTTGACTAGTGTGGGGGTAATAACAACCTAGTTCACCAGAATATGAGTATTAACTGCATGTGAACTAGGTTGCTTTTATGTTTCTTTTTCAGTTTATTTTATTTATTTAAAAGTTTAAAGAAATGTTTATCTTTGAGAGAGAGGAAGAGATAAAGTGCAAGTGGGGAAGGGGCAGAGAGAGAGGGAGACACAGAATCTGAAGCAAGCTCCAGGCTCTGAGCTGTTCGAACCCATGAACCCCGAGATCATGACCTGAGTGGAAGTCGGACACTTAACTGACTGAGCCACCCAGGCGCCCCTATTTTTATGTTTCAAGAGAAAGAATTAACAGGCAACTGATTCCCCCCCAGTACCCTGCAGTAATTTAGAGCTTCCTGACTAGGAAGGCAAAATCACTTTCTAGTCATTGGTTGGCATGGCAGATGGGGAAACTTGATGCTGTGCTAATACTCTCTGTTACAAGCAGCTGAGTGGAACTCACCCATAGGTGACCGATGGCCGTTGGGTAAAACAGGTACTGTGTATAACGATAATGCTCTAATAATTGAGATTTCACCAGGAAGAATGATGCGTAGATCTGACTTTTTGTCATGTCATCATGCTAAGCTGTTCATATGCACGTACCCACTCCAGTCTCCTGATTGAAACGGAGGCAGCAGACTTGCGGGACAATTGTTTACAGGCTGTAGTCTTTGAAGTCCATCTGGTGTTTGAAATGATTGTTAATTAAAAGTTGGCTGAAAGCTGTCCCTTGCATTTAAAAAAAAAAAATGCTGCATCTTGATTCTATGTAACAGGTTCTGAAAAACATTAGCAATACCAAATTTGATACATTTCCTGGCTGGATTTTAAATTTTGAGCTCAGTCTGTTCTTCAGGATAAGGCAGATATAAAATGCTTTGATTTGGGGCATTATCTGACTATTAGAGTGAAGATTTTTTTTTTTTAAGAAGAAAGTAAGACATCCATTGCTATTGCCTTTTATGAATGATGGTCTCGAAGTGTATATACACATGTGGTCACTGTCTTTGAGTGTGTGTGTGTGTGTGTGTGTGTGTTAAGGTAATATTTGTAAAAGTGATTTGGTTCAAAATTGTGGAGGCAGACCTAAATATCCAGCAATAAGATACTACACAGAGGTCCCTTCATTTAATAGATACTAGGTAGTTTCTAAAGTGCTAATTGTAAAGATTACATATAAAAACTGGAAAAATGCTGATGATAATGTTAATGGGAAAAGATGGATACCAAATTTATATACATTATGACTATGAAAATAAATATGCCTTTAGAAGAGAAAACAAATTATAATTACAAACTTGGGTATGAATGTGGCTTGGATCAGTAAGGGTGGTTTTGATGGCAAAGAATAGAAAGCCCAATTCAAAATGACTGAAGCAATAAGGAGATTAATTGTTCATATTACAAAAAGTTGGGCTCCAACATGCTACAGCTCTGTTTTTGTTGTTCTCTTGCCTCCTCTGTTCTCTAAATGTGGCTTTTATTGTTAGGCTAGTGGTTATTCCAGGCTTCATGTTGAGATAGGATAGCCTGCAGTAGAAAGAGAGGGCCCCTCCTCATGTAGGTCCCATTGAAAGAGCAAGGAAACCTTCCTAGAATTCCCCCACAGACTTCCTCCTGCGTTTCATTGGCTAAGACTGGATCACATGTTCCTCTGGCACTCTCTAGAAGGGGAAATTCAGTTAACACAATTGCATAGTTTAATCAAGATTTACCTCTGAACACATGGGGACTCTCCTACCAAGACAAAGTGAGATGGTTGTTGAGGAGAACCAACAGGGTCTGCTAAGAAGTATGGTTGGAGTTTGTCCCTCCATTTGGGA